CAGCTGTACGAGTATCTGAGTCTCTGTGTAGTGTGTTGATGGGCCTTTTATCCCAACAGAGACAGCTGACTTTACATTGGAGTCAAAAGTCGACATACTGAGGCTGAATATGGCTGTGCTGCACCAAAGGCTTCAACAAATATGACTTTAATATCCCGTTTTCGTTTTATCAAACATGATGGTTTTCCTATTAAGTTTGTAACTGTGGACATCTGTTGCCTGTCAGTGTAACTGAAATGATGACGTTTAAAAAAAGCGTCTGTGATTCTCCAGAACACAGATGGCCAGTCCGCCCCTGCTGCACTGTGCTGTTTTGTGTTCACCGTCCGACTCCTTAAACCAAAAGTATTTCCAAACAGCGGAATTAGTTTTACCTTTCTTGTTCACGAGTTGCTCTTGTTCTGCCATCTTCGCTCGCGCTGAACTCACACAACTATTGTCACTCACAACCTGGCCGAGAGGGCTTTTAGGGAGGGGTGAAAGAGCACGCAGCAAAATAATCATTTTTTATTCGAGATTAAAATACGATTAATTGCACAGCCCTACACCAAACCATTCCATGATTGCATTTTTTTTTAAATGGCATGTTGGGATTTGAGACTTCCCCTGAGTGTGTGTGTGCGGCACAGACACCTGCATAATGAATAGGCAAATACTGGTAGTTGAGCTTTTTAATTTGAACTAATCACTCAACCCTACTTTATCGCCAAGGGTGTTCAAATGTCTTTCAAAATAAAGTTGTCTTTATCATTTGACTTCTAAGCTTTGTGTGTATTTATTAGGATGTGATGTTGACAGGATATTTTGAAACCTGCCTGTAGGGCTTTTCCTTAGTAACCCCTGACCTCGGTCAAATCTAAAAAGCTGTTTCATCGACAAAGGGTAAAGTCTGCCTAAGGAATTCTTCCCCACACCTCACAGTTTAAAGTAGTGCAGTGGAACTTTACTTTTACAAATGTTGATAGACATCACAATGAAGCATCTAAAAAAACATTTAAGTAATGAATCCAAGCTTGAGAGATGATATTTGGAGGCCTGGTTAAATGGCATACATTTGCCATTCAATGCTGGGTGGAATGTTACCGGAGAGAAACATTTGAAGATTTCAATTTCTAGCTTGGTTTTACTATTGCAAGTGCTCATTACTATAAATAGGTTAGTCTTTTGTCCTCAGGAGGAGTGACAGCTAGCTGTAAGCAGCCATAGCTAGCAGAGTCCTATGATGTCATTGGCTAACAGAGATACGTTTCTGTTTAGCCCTAGGGCACAGTCACACATTTGCGAATGGACTGTAATTGACACAAGTATTTATTTACCTGGCTGAAAGTTCACCAAAGATGATCTTCTTGCAAAACCGAGTTGCATTTTGTTCGCCATTCGTAAGCAAAACATTTGTCAGCCCTTCACTCACTTAGAATAGTAATGAACCAGAGACAAATGTTGATTTAACACGTGTGAGCGTGCCCTTAAAATATTATCAGCAGTTTAATGTGACAACACACACTAAACTACAAATGAATGCAATATAGTTCTTAAGCTAAAGTATTTAAAAGTACAGACTTTACGTCATTGTTTATATTTTAACAAACTTCTGTCATAGATGAAAATAACCAAATACATTAACTCCAATTCTTGTATTTTGATAAATAAATTGTAAATAGCCCTTATGATGACTAATTGCATTACATTAACTAATAATAAACCAAACAAATATGATGTGTCCTGATTAATCTTTTGAGATCTTACCAACTCCTTTTGATCAAATGTATTACTTTTCTTCTTCTCTACAGAAACAATGAAGCTCTTGCTAAGACGCAACTAAATTCTCAGTTGACTAGTTTGTCCTTTGTAATGACCGTTCTCAAATGTATTTACAAACCAGATAGTCACCTTGCCTTTTTTTCTGTTTTGATATCAGATGGCTGAGCAAATGTAGTCCCTTATGGCAGTTTTTCACAGAGCCAGCACCAGCAAAGGGCATGTGCAATATCTGTAGCGACTTGGTGAGCATTGAGGCTGAAATGCTGAATAAAGAATACATCACAAACATTTGGAAGTGTCACCACTTCCCCGCCTATAATAAGGCTCGGAACAAAAAAGAAGATGCTGCTAGAGAGGACTTGTTCGCCCTACTGTGACACGGTTGTTTGATTCTCAAAGAAAATGGTATGAATTGGATCTCGGTGGAAACGAATTGACACTTTAAGGATGGAACTTTTTGCCACAGAGATCTACTACCACAAAGAGATGCTGGAAATTGTGTACAAAAAGGTTTTGAAAAAAAGCACTGACTGCGACATAGAATGCTGGACCCCATTCTTCTTTCCCCACAGAATGATAGGGTAGGGAATATGATGATACATTGTATAGATCAGTGGTTCCCAAACGGTGTGCCGCGGCACACTGGTGTGCCGTGAGGCAAGTCCGGGTGTGCCGTGGGATTTTGTGACAACCATACGTTATTATTGCAATATACAACTACACAACAATTATTATTTTTTAATTTACTATATCAGTACTTTGTATGCACTCATTTCATAATACAGAGGCAAACTCTATACCTAAAAACAATTCTTTAAAAAAAAATCCTCACAGAACCCCATATTTCGCTGTTAACGCAGTTGCAGGTGGGAATTATAAGACTGTGACACATCGAAGGCTGAAGGACAACATTAAAACACAGAAACACGCAAGAGGGAAAATGGAGCGCTTTCTTGTGCGGAGCAAACCACCAACCACCAGTGCAGAGACTGCCGACAACCCACCACCGAAAGAAAAGAGGAAAAAAACTGTCAGCAGACAGTATCATGAAAGTTACCTGTCTTATGGCACTGCAGGCGAGCGGCAGATTTTCCCTACAAATAGACGAATCTACTGACATAAGTGGGGCTGCCCAACTTCTGGCAAACCTCAGATATGTTGATGCTGACTCTATCAAAGAGACGTTTTTCTTTTGCAAAGAAATGGAAAGCCATACTACGGGAGAAGAAATATTCAGGGTAACTAATAACTATTTCAAAGAGAACAGTCTGACCTGGAATATGTGCGTCAGTCTTTGCACAGATTGTGCGGCAAGCATGACGGGGAGAGTGAAAGGATTTATTGCTAAGGTGAGAGCACAAAACCCACATATCGTGACAAACCACTGCATTTTGCATAGAGAGGCATTAGTTGCCAAAACCATGCCCCCGGAGTTGACTGAGGTGCTGAATCAGGCTGTGCAGATGGTGAATTACATCAAATCAAGGCCCCTGAAATCTCGCCTCTTCTCCCAGCTGTGCGCCGAGATGGGAGCCGACCACCAAAGCCTGATCCTCCACAATTTTTAATTTTGTGACCTGTCTGGTTTAAATGAGTGTGTTGCTGCTTTGATGAAGCCTAATTTGATAAAGTTTCAAATTAATTTCTGAAATATTTCGTTAATAAATATTTCATGAGTAATATAGTTGTCTTTGTCACATTTTATTTGGCATTAGTAAATAATTATGCACATTTACAGATATTTTACATGATATGAGTGATAACACGTGTTATAAGGGCTATTTTGCACAATAGGTGTGCCTTGAGATTTTTTACTTGTCCTTTGGTGTGCCTTGGGCACAAATAGTTTGGGAACCACTGGTATAGATAGACCATCACAAGGAAAGGAAATGGTACTCTTACATTTCTGGCTCCGACTACATCAGCAGGCTGTTTCTTTACAGGATGATCCATTGCGATATCAACCAAGACAGAGAGGTGCTTGTGCTCAGACTGATGTGCAAACATGATCAAATGCATGAGACTTCAGCTGCAGAGCATATATTGCATCATATAAGAGAGCACTGAAGGACATGTGCAATGCATTTCAACCACATTGTGTTTGCAAAAATAGTCCGAAAACCTTCAAGAAGACTTGAATCAGTCAAACTGTTCCCATCAACTGGAACTACATTGTTCACACAAGCAGATGATGCTTAGGCCGAAGCAGGAAGAAATCTACATGTCCAACCCTAGAACAATGCATGTCAACTCAAATGTGATCAACAAACTGGGCGTTGTCGAAGAAGTGACTCTTGAGATGAGCAAAGAAGAGGCATAAAACCAAGCCACAACTGGAAACCAAGGATCTGATCCTAAACCAATTTACCTTTGCTTTAGCTGAACCCCTAGTCCAGTAGTTGGTGACTATTTGTGAAAATAAGAGGAAAAACGGGTTTAGTAGAAGAATTGCAGAAAAAACCCAAATCAAATAGATGCTGACAAAAAAATGAAGTTGCTGAGAGAACATTTAGCAAGGTGGGGAAAATGATGAAAAGGCCAACTTTAGAGTGCAGCAGAAAACATTTGACCTGTTTTACAATGGGCTGCACAAACTGGGACTCGAAACATTGTTAATGTATTTTCTTTTTTTTGATAGTTAACTTTCTCTCTCTGAAACAAGATCTTCTGATAAATGATAGGTGCAAGTCAAATGGATTGAATTGTATCTACGTTTTCTTTATTTAAATGTCTAATGAGACATTTAGTTTACATTTCATTGAAAACATTTTGTAATGCAGCCTCGATCAACTTGAGCAAACATAAAATGCAGACAGAAACATATATTTTCATCTTTAAGTTCAACAATTTTGTTTTTTATCAAATGCAAAAAAAACAAAAAACTGCATGATGTCAGCATTATATTTTGGATACAGATACAATTTAAGAAGTGGTTGGAGAATATTTGAGAAATGATGAGCGAATATTGGATGTTCAGTCATGAGCACAAAACATTTCTCATTAATGGGCAACTACACAAATTCTTCACATTATAGCATTGATAGTAAGGCTAATTCAAAATCTTCTCACGCATCAAGGCCAGTGACACAGCCCATGACATCAGCTTTATACAACTTCTGAGGAAACCTGCTTGCTTAAACCTCTCTGTAATGGAGGAGCTCATCTCATCAATTAGAGGCTTAAAGTGGCCCTTTAACAGTCAATTACCATTGACCGCTCAAAGGAGTGTCTTTACTCACCAGATTTGCGCTGGGTGTTGTTTCCCAGGGCATACAGGACTCCAGAGCAACGTGGTGTCGCACAGAGGTCAGCTCATCAGCCTTTGGACTTCCCTTCAGGTTGATAAGCAGCCCATGCTAAAGCCCAATGAAAAGAGAGGTTACAATGAAGTACGAAGTGTCTGATAAGTTGGAGCACTACAAAAACGCTTTAAAACAGAATATAAGTATACCATATCAATACATACATTTGTTTTTCTTGGCAAAGTCAGTGTTTCTGTACAGGATCAATACTTTCTGAAGCAAACCTAGACTCATTCATTGCTTTTCTTTCAAAATAGAGCGACCCATCAGTCATGCTCGTATTGTGTGCTCGCAATAACAATGAGAAGGTGTGTCTCACCGAAAAGGGATCCCAAAAGTCTCCCAGGTTTTTTCTTCCAGGTCATGTGACCTGTGGCTGGCAGCCTTCCAGCAGAATGGGGAGACTAAAGTCTGCACCTGAACACATCACAGGGTTAAGACATGACAACGTGGTTAATGGGGTTAACAAGACGGGGAGTTTTCAACAGGAGGTGTTGGCTGAATAATGGTGATCTAACAGAGAACTTATTATGCTGAGGAGTGGAGCGCCTTTGTGTCAGAGTGGTTACACTACAGTATATGCTATACCACTGCAACATCCAGATTGATTCTAACCTTGGGACCTTTGTTCCGGGTTGTATGCCATATATTTGCAGAAAACCTTCTGGTGTCAAAAAGCTAAGGAACAGAAGGAATTTCACATTTCATCATGACTAACACCAAGTCGACTTCAGCCAAGGTATGGCTTCAGACAAGGAAATGTCCCCACATAATGTACATTGTGTCAGGACATTTTTTTTCGAAGAGGACTGGTATAAAATATAAAAGCCGAGAGACTTATTTACAAAGACTTGTTGCTGTAAAAAGGTGCTTCCAACAAAGTAAAAGTTGGGCAGGGTGTACACATAGAATGTAAATAGTGTACTTTGTTGTACCTTTGTACATGTTTTTGTACAAATGTTTTTTGTAACCATTAGATTCTCTTTTCCTTCTGGACTTCTGTCTGTTGAAATATCACATTAAAGATGAAACACGCCGGACAGTTATTTCTGTCTTGGTAAATCGATTCTATCCACTGCTTCATTAATCAGAGGGCCTGCCTTTGCATCGGAATATGTTGTTTGTTATGTCGAAATATGAATACAAGTTGGATGGATTGTGATCCAGGCTGTCTTTAAAAAAAAAAAGAGGTTTAATCTTTTGAATCAAATTCAACACCACCATCACTTACTCTGCTGCGCCCGCCTAGCAGAAGCGCCTTAGATCAAATAAACTGTGGGAGTGACTTCAGCGTATCTGTGGGGAAAAGGAGAATACTGCTTTGAAGACAGCACATGTGAAAGCACAACATTCACTCTGCTGTTAGCACTGAATTAGTTATTAGTAAAGGCATGAAGGTTAAAGGTCCCATGTCAAGCTTTTCCGGTTATTACCCGTCCCTTTGTCTGTTATGAAGGTGTTTATGCATGTAAACGGTCTGCAGAGTCACAAACCCTCAAAGTACACCCTATAGCGAGTAAAACTCTAACACAGAAAAGACCTGTCTATGCTGCCCCAGAACGCCTCGTTGGAGATTTCTCTTTTTCTTCCTGGGTACAGTGACGTGCCCATACCCAATGGACCCAATCAGTGGAGCTCCTCACACACACACACTCTCTCTGCGGCGAAAATGTGACGCGCGCGCGCGGGGGGGCGGGGGGGGTAGGGTGCTAGTGGAGCCTCGCAGCGGCGAAACTGTAGCGCCCTTACACTGTAGGTGCGCCGCGTTTGGGGATGCAGGTGCTAGTGGGGCTTGCAGATGGGGGTGCTGCAGCCTCCTCAGCACCCCCCCCCCCCCTTCCCGCGTGTCTCGCAGACCCCACGCAGCAAGCAGGAAATGAACACAGCTCACACTGTCCGCTCCTCGCAGCAGCGAGCCGCGCAACGTCCCGCCAACACGGCACCCAGACCCCACGCAGCATTCTCATCTGTTTGTCCTTACTGGTGTCATTTTCTGGTTGCTAACGCCATTGTAACACATAATCACTGATGTTCCGCTGTGACGGTGGTAGACCATAGTGGTAGATTCATCAGAACAGAGTGGGCGAGCTGACCAATCAGAGCACAGTGGGCTCATAGGGAGGGGGGGGGCAGGAGCTCCAACAAGGCGTGTAGGACAGAGAGTGAATACACATACTATACAAAGATGCTGTATGAGAAACCAATGTGAGTTCTATTCTAGTATACCTCAACAATGGAATTATGATCGGTAGAAATGGCCATGACATGGGACCTAATCAAGGCAATTATTGAATACTTCATCAGTGTAGTGTCTCTTACATTGTGCAGTTGAGTAGTTGACAGACAGCGTTCCAGGGGAGGAGAGGAGAGGAATTCCTGTGAATGAAAATCATTAGTTAATCTTTGGTGTCAGTGAGATGTATAGGTTTGTACAGTACCAGCTACCTACATCAGCATATACCCGTCCCCCACTGTGTCATCTATCCCCCGCCACGCCCAGCTGTGCATGATATTTACACACACACACACTCAAGGATGGAGAGTGCACGTGCTGCCTCTTTTCTTTCAAAGGGCACCACTGCCCTCTGTTGGTGCTTCATAGGACAAACACCATTTAGTTTGGAGATACTGAGTTGCAGCTGGTGTATTTTAAGTAATTGTAAGAACATAAATTAAAAAAGCTAATATAAGAATAATCAGAATCAGAAAACTTAATGTATCCCAAGGAAATTCGGCTTTGTGACAGTTGCTCCATTTTCGAATAACAAAAAATAAAAATATTTATAGAAACTTGAGTTTAGGAAAAACATTTTCAATTATAATGAAATATCATTGAAAAAAGATATGTATATAAACATAAGAAGTTTAAGTAAGAAAAGTGTGATAAAATAAATGGAATAGCAATATTTATATAAGCATAACAAGTGACAGTAAAAATGTGCAATAAAATAAACTGAAATAGAGTACAAATATGAACACTAAACAGAGGTTAAACAAAAAAAGGTGCAATAAAATAGAATAACAATATTTATATTGACATATGAAGGCCCCCATATGTGAACATGTACATAATGACTCACAAGATAACAAGATAAATGCGGTTTAAGTTTAACTGCACATGAACTGTACATTTGTGAACATTTAAACAAATAAACTGTTGATCAAGTCAGTATTTAAATTGCAGATATTTCGATAGTAGGTCAAATTAGTCTTTTTTTCTAATTGCTTGGTTCCAACTTCTTCTTAATTGTGCTTCATTTTGATGTCATTAATTAAGAAACTGAATATTTGGCCTATTAAACTGTTCATTTACGAGACAATCAGTTTAATGAAACTGTGATGGGCATTTTTACAACTTTGTGACATTATTAGAGATCAAACGATAAATTGAAGGAAGAATTTAATCACATTGATCATTAAGAAAACTCTGAACTGCATTATTCAGAGAACACAAACAGGCTTCTAAATAATGACTGAGAAGTCTCATTTGTCTATAGACACTAAACAATCCACACAACATCACTTTAACTAATTATGTATGGATAGATCATATAACTGGAGAGAAGGACTTGAGCCAAAGTCATTTTCTAAATACTTCAAGCATTACTCTGGAAATGTTCACAAAATATCATTGTGTAGTAAAGTATTTGAAGTGCTGCTCAGGATTAAGTACCGGGTTAATATATGCTAGTCTCTTCAGGGCCTTTTAATAGTTTTACAATGGTTCCGCGTATATCATACATCATGAGCAAAAGACGTAAAGAGAGCAGGAGAGAGGGTGCATGACCTCACACAATCTACAATTAACACACACACGCACACACGCCCACCCACACACACACACACACACACACACACACACGCACACACACACACACACACACACACACACACACACACGCACACGCGCACATGCACACACACACACACACACACACACACACACACACACACACACACACACACACACTTTAAGCTTATCCTTTAAAGTGGCAATCTGATATTCTCTTAGCTTTAGTTTAGCACCATACCGAGAGCTGGGTGTGGGGGGTGGCGGGTGGCGGGTGGCGGGGGGGTGTGAGTGTAGGTCCCCAGAGGTGATAGTCTATTAGCACGCAGCATGAAAGTCAATGAAAAGCACCCCAGTGTGCTCCAGCCCCCTGACAGTATTAATGTTTAATGATATCTAAAAAGGCTAATACTCATCCCCCGTTCGCTTCTGCTTTTATCCTCTCATTAAATATCCTCACAATATCATCACCTCCTCAGATTAGAGCACTGACCCCGTGTGCTGAAGGACTCGCCCTTCACTGATGGGGGACACACATCCCTCTTCCTGTCTCACACACACAACGGATTAACGTAGCATTTAGGTTGTGTTAGGTAGGAGGCAGAAGCACCACATATTGAAGAAGTGTACTAAAATACATCACTCTATATTTGCACGTTTACTATTTTAAGCTATAAATTAGCTAGGGATCCATAAAAGAATACTTAGCTACCATTGGCAGCGTTCAAATATGTGAGTGAGGAAGACATCTTGGATCTCTAATGAGTGATGCAGGAATGAGTCCTACAACCCTGAAATGAGTTAGCATTTTACCACTTCTGATTCCCATTCAAAGTCATGGGTTTCTTGAGATGTTCTAGTTTGTTCTACAACTTAAAATACATCAGTAGTCACCCACATATTAATGTCTGAAACTTATACAAGTAAAAAACAACGGTAGCCGCCTTTAGCTTAGTTGGTGAAAACTGCAAATCACACATAAAGCCACTCAAATCCATATCAAAGTATTCATGTTATGCCATTAATGTAAGTGAAGACTCTCCCAGACAAAGACACTAATGGTTATGGGTTATGGTTATAGGATACAGGGGAAACGTAATGGCTGTACTTGCTGGCTGAGCAGCTTTCACTGGGAGGCAGCACCACAGAAACCCCCCTGCATAACATTGATCAATTTATCTTTTTTCCAGCAGACATTCTGTGAGTCAAACAGCAATTGTTACATTTGGAGCCTTCATTTGCTGCAGTAAGGTAATGTTGATAAAAACCTGTATATGGAAAGGTCACAGTGAGCCTTTATTGCTTAATCTAATCAGGAATTGTTCCAAATGCTAGCAAGGTTTGCTTACTTTACAAAACAATTACCTTATGAGGATTATTTAAACAAAAAGTATTTTCAAACCAATACAAGGGCAAAACACAATAAAGGACAGCATTCTATGAATTTGACTATTTGAGACATTATTGCAGAGGTCTTTAAACTGTTTAAGGCTAAGATCCCCTGGGTCTACAATCTATGTATCCTTTTTAAAATATTACAAACAAACCTATTAAAGTCACACTTTCATCATGAAACAATTTGTCTGCAGTGTCTCTCAAGACCCCCTAGGGGTCAGAAGCCCCCTGTTGAAAACCCATTGATTATATCGGATTCAGATTAAACTTTATTGTCATTACATAGTACATGTACTAGTGACGAAATGTAAGTTTAAGCATCTGACCAGAAGTGCAAAATAGTAGTGCAGGAATCTACATAATAAGAATAATTATAAATGGAATTATTATAAATAGAATAATTATATATAGGCTATAAACAGATGAATATATACAGTGTAAACGGCATTGACAGTAAAATATATAAACAGGTGGGTGGTGGGTATGGGCTTGAGTCTATCAGCGAGCAGAGTTCAGCAGGGTAAAGAAGCTGACCCTGAACCTGCTGGTCTTGGACCGTATCTCCTGGGGCGCCTCCCCGAGGGTAGGAGGACAAACAGATAGTTAGCAGGATGAGAGGTGTCTTTGAAGATGTTGTGCGCCCTCTGCAAACACCGTATCCCCTGGATGTCCTCGATGGCAGGGAGTGGGACACCGATGATATATATGTAGGAATGGACAATGGTATTTGATTGGAATAAGATCCTAATCAATCCATTTGAATCAATCGTTTGGCTCATAGTTCTGATACATTTGCCAAGTATCAAAAGGGCTAACAGCCATAAACTATTTGAACAAAAAAGGTGTAAACTAAGGCTGCACAATTTGAGAAAAATAACTAATGCTCAAAGTTGATCAATGTTGTTGAGTCTTTCTTGATTATATTGTAAATGATCATGTTTCAAGTTGTTAATGTTGTATGCACAAAAATGATAGAGAAGCAGTTCACGCTATAAAATATCAAAATTAGTATCAAAGACATGAAATAATGCATTCAATGATAATTAATGTATACAATATAAAAATACATGTATATTTTTTAACAGTTCGCAGTAAACAGTGATTGGAAATGATCAAACTGAAAGGAGGGAAGTAATATATATGCTTAGTTTATAAAGTTGTAAAACGGTATTTAAAGATGTATGGGGGAGCGTGACAAAAGCATTGTGCTTAAGAGTTCAAATATGCACTGTTGTTGTGGGCAACTACACATTATATTGAGATACCTAATATTTAGTTAGGCACCAATGATTCTGTGAATAATCTCGCTTTCAAAAGCTGCTTAACTCCAGTATTCTTTTTACACGGGGCATTAAAATATACCGCCATAGCACCAAAGTAAAGCAGGGCATTTCAAAAACACACACTTTTACACACACATGCACACACAGCAAAACAACCACGAATGCACCAGTGAGCATGTACACACACTGCAATACATTCTGAAGAACGCTCACAAACACACACACAGTGCGAGCAGGCGAAAAGTCAGAGGAAGTGCTTATGCCCCCGAACACACTCAAGAGGGACTGCATTGCACTTAAGTGGTCACTTTCACACACAAAGGCCAATCACAGGAGCTTAGCCGGCCCCATCGAGCTTTTTAGCAAATGCTGCTGCGCCGGAATTGCTTGTTTGGTTAACCCTGTGTGCTACGCAGTCCCATCACTCAAGTCTGCATGGTGGCAAACGCTTCGCTTTGAAGTCTTGTAGAGGGAGACCGTTCATTGTGAGCTGGATGACTAGGCCTTGTCATTTGTGAGGAGGGATTAGTCATGCTATGTTTATTGGAGAGTGTGCATCAGCTTTCTCCACCGCTGCCTTTTTAAACGGATTTCTGCTTCCGAGGTGTTTTTGGCAGATTTACCAAACACTTGACGCTGTATGAGAACAACATATTGAAACTTCAGCTTCAAGCAAACTCTACAACTTCCATATCATATTAAAGTTGCTTTTGCCTTCATAAAGAGTTTCAAGAACTTTGATGTGCACTTGCTGTGTCATATCATAACGTTTATGTACTTTGACTAATCCAGAAATTATAAAGCAAAAAACTCCTTTAGGATCATGTTAGTTGTGGGCCAGGAGTTCATGTTCTTACGGCGTTTGACTGAGCAGGTGTGGTGTTTTCAGGATAGTTTCTGCACATGTG